ATGAAGAAAAAAGAAAAGAAAAAGAAAGAAGAAAAGAGGCGAGGAGAAGAAAGGAAAACAAGACGAAGAGTCACAATAATAATGATTTTTTATATACGAAAACGAGGGAAATAATTTCGTGCTGAAAGACTAAATTAGATAGGAGCAGCAACGTTATAATTATTATTGTTATTATTATTATTATTATTATAATTATTACTATTATTATTATTATTATTATTATTATTATTATTATTATTATTATTATCATTATTATTATTATTATTATCATTATTATTATTATTATTATCATTACTAGTGCGTGCTTGTGTTTATTGTTTTATGAACGATGACTGTTTAGCTGTTACAGTAACCAGCAATAAGTTAAGGGATGCCTAGGTTTCTATTACTAAATGAAGCATATCGTTTACGTTTTGATACAGCTGTATGTGCATTCACATACTCGCACACTGAAATCTGGTATGTCATTGTAATATAAATAACTGTAGAGCCTTGGCGTTCAAAATAGGGATAAAATGAAAACACAAAATGTCGCATATTGTTTGCATAACAGCGTTTTAATTTGGTGCAAGTGTGTGTGAATTACGCACGTGTTTGTAGTGTAAGTTTACAGGTAAGGATTTCTGGAATAATTTTTATCACGGTATTCTTATACAGTAGTGCTGTTTCATATTTGTTGCATTTTATTGATTTCTTTCTTGCTCGTTGTGCATAAAAATGGTCATTTTTTGTGTATCATTCTTTCCTAGTCTGATTTAGTGTTTTTATGTAATGTATTAAAACAAGCATAAAAAATACTTTCAAATGCATTGGCATATCCAACAAACTTGAAAGATCTGGATGCAGGATACAAGGCTAACTAACATGATTCGTGTATGAGACAAAATAACTCTTCTGATTCTGTAAATCATAATAAAAAAAGAAAAATGTGCATATAAGATAAGAAACCCATTCGATTAAACAACGAGAAAAATGACCAATATTCTTGAAAGACTAAAGGCCAATTTAACCATGTAAACCACAAAGTATTTCTGGAGCAGCATAAGTGCCGCATAGAAGAGTGCAGCGTCGCATGTCTGACACATTTAGCACGGGTTTAGAATATGCACGGTATATTTTCTGATATTTCCATCTGCCGTTACACCAAAACAAGAACGGAATTGGAGAGAAAGCTTATATTACAAAAGACATAGTTAATATAACATAATAATTCCAAGAGGTATTCTAATTTCACTTAGGCAAGACTGAAGTTGTATATATACTCTATGTGAGCGTGTGTTTTTAAGCGTTTTATTCCAATGCAAGCAAGATGAAATAATTTATAGAGAAGAAGAGAAACACCTAATATATTTTTTTCCGATAATGCCTTACATCCTAAAGATTCCGTACGACCCAATAGACAAACTAGATCATTAGAGTCGTTAAACAATCACTTAACAACTTTTAACAAAGTTTCAGGATGGTGTGTCTTGTTGCCATGGCCAGGGAAACATATATAAATATATAGTTAACTAGTTACAGTGGGGAGCTGATAGACAGTTTTTGCTGATGATATATAAAGCCCCTATTAGGTCTAAAGTAGATTATGGGTCAATCATGTATGGTTCGGCATCGAACTTAATTTTGAAAGATCTGGATGTTGAGCAGAATACTTGTTTGCGTGTGTCTTGGAGCCCTGAAATGTACTCGGATCGAGCGTCTTGAGGTGGAGTAAGGAGTACCTCCCCTCTAACTCAGATGCAACCAGTTAGCACTGAACCGAGACCCGAGCCATCCCAATGGCAATCGAGGCATTAGGCCATTTGTCACACGGCTCCACGACCTCGTCGAGAAAGTCGGTATAGATCTCTCTATCATCGACACCTTGGTTCATTCAAATATAGCGCCATGGGAACCCCCAAATTCTAAATCATAGAAGCCTGGATTCCATCAGCTAAGGCCATAGCGCCGGAGGTGGAGGTACGCCAGAGGTTCAGAGAGATCCTTACTAAACATCTTCCTTTTTTCTTATATATACACCGACGGCTCCAAGACAGATGAGTGTGTGGGTGCGGGGGTAATGTGCATCGATCTTTCTTGCCGAAGTTTTTGCTATTGATAAAGCTTTAGATTTTGCACTGTCGACGACCTACGATAGAATAGTATTTTTTCTGATTCATTAAATTCACTTAAAGCTAATAAATTAAATCATTAGAAACCACTAAAAATGAACTGCTGGGTAATATCATCCGTCAGCTACATGGTGGCAACAAATCAATCAAACTATTGTGGGGACCAGGTCACTCTGGTAACTATGACAATGAACAAACTGGCAAATTAGCCGGGTGATCTGGACCTTATGATAATCTGTAATCTCAGGTGTTTTGTGTCTCTTTTAAAAGCAAAAATCCATCTCCTGTGGCAAAGTGAGTGGACCGACCTACAAATGCACAATGAAATTAAAGCAATAATAGAACTCTGGATACAGCCCACAGGAAAGAAGGGAGGAGGTGGTTTTGGC